CAGTACGACATGGTTGAGAGTATAATGGCATGAAGATAGATATTTGAAACAGAAGATGTCAGATTGGATCTAATTTGGGTTGGGTTGAGTTTGACATGCTTTAAAGCTTGGGTTCTCAAACATTTTTGGACTGGGGACCCCTTACAAAGGGGGAAAATTTCCAGGGACCCCCTCACAAACCCTGTTAATGCAAAATAATTTACTGTTATTTTAACCCCTTGATGCTACGGTGATATTATTTGTTGTTTGGTTTGTTTTTTTTTTTTTTTACTGGTGCATTATTCCCCATTTGCATTTTTCTAAATAAAAGCCAAATGCACAATTTATTGAAATTTTTTGAGGACACCCAAAATATTCACGGACCCCTGGGGGTCCTGGGACCCCAGTTTGAGAACCTCTGTGTTAAAGAATGCCAGACTTTTAATCATGAAATGTTTTTGCTTGAACACAAATCCCACACAGGAAGCCGGCGTGTGCCGTATAGCAACTTCATCCACTATCTTCTCCAGAGAAAATGAAGTCACCGGCGGTGACCACCGGCTGATGTTTTTAGAGATAAGGTGAGCAGTGTGGAAAAAGTACATCTCATTGCACCTTTGTGCCCAAAGGGAACGGAGTTACTGAAGCGTAGAAAGGATCCAATCAGCTGATACAGACGCCCTGTGGAGGTACTGCAGGTTTAGAAGAGAATCCAGGTGTGTTTACATGTTCYATCTGACCTGAGAAATCAGCTAAAAGTCGCCCCGAGGGAGCCGAAGAACACGACAGGTGAGAGGGGGGGCCTCAGTGACCTGAACCTGTCTGCTGCTCTGAAATGGAACAGATTCACTAAATAAATGATAAAAAATGTGTATTTTCTAAATGCAGGTCTGACTTCCTCCTATATTTCTGTCCTTGATGTAAAGTCAGAAGAAGTGTTGCTTGGAGGCTGGATGTGTGCCAGAGTGAAGATTAGACCTGTTAGKGAGTAAACACCACACTGCTCCATCTCTGTTCCATCAGCATCAAATTTCACCAAAAACTGATTTTCTTTTTCTCGTCTCACAAAAACATTTCTGTACTGAGGTCTTGGTTCTCTTTCAGTTTGGGTTTTATTCACACTTATAAAATATATCTTTACCATTCGGAATGTTTGTCAAAAATTTTGGAGAGGTACAGGTAGGGGCGGAGCCAGAGGGGCCACGGCCAAATGATTGACAAGTGGGGTAGTCTTTGCATGTAGCATGAAACTTTTTTTTTTTTGCTAGCTGGGTTAGCTTTCATAATATCATGGGGATTGCTCTTGGCTACCACCAAAGCAAATTTCAGCTCAGTATTTCTAAAAAAGGCTGAGTTGTTGGCATTTGAATTAGTTTTGGCGGCCATGTTGGATTTTGTATTTGAAATCAGATTGTTTCTCAGCTACTACATGTTGGAGAAAAAACTTGTTTTTTTCTGTATTGTTACCCACAGAGATGATAAAAAAAAAGATGTGGACGTTCGTTCAGTCATAAATCCATCTTGCTAATGTAACAGATCTGCTCTGAGAGCAGCAGCTGATAAGTTCAGCAGGCAGTAGCTCATTGTATGGCAGGCAGATATTACATTTATTTGGCTTCACCACACTTACATTCCAGTTATCTGAAATTGTTTTATGACAGAACTATGTGCAGCTTAAGCCCCTTAAGGTCCTGTCACACTATAACATTTTAGGTTATGCCTACTTATTTATGTCCAAATGACTAATTTTACTTGAAGTTCTGGTTATAACATCCACTTTATTTTGATTTTGTTAAAAAACTTGAGAAATGATTTTGTTTGCTGTTGAAACTGTTTTACAATATATAAAACATTATTTTGTACTTCTGTTATGTTCATTTGCACTACAGCAAAAATGCTGGGTTTGATTATGATTACAGTTTTCTGCTAATTAAATGCTCTAAAAATTACATTATCTTTGCTTTTTATAATTTTATACTGTGATATATTCTGTTACTGTGAAGAGATTCAGTTTATAMCGTGATATGAATTTGAGGTCATACTGCCCAGCCCTGTGTGGAGGCCATCTTGAATTTTCAAACCCCAGTGCTCCCCTTAAACACACCTTGGCCACCCTGGTAGAAATGTCTAGTTCCACCCCTGAGTGCAACCAATATATAAATAATATAAATCTATCAAGTCATGAGATATTTTGCTAACAGTACAGAAAGAGACCAAACCCACCAGCCCTCTGCCTCCAGCAGTGTGTGAAGAATGAAAAAGAGAAGAACAACTTGTTMTTTGGGTTTTTTGTCACACTTTCCCAGATTCCACCTGCTTCCTCTGACTTCCTCACACTCCGYCCTCCATCTCTGCTCAGATTAATCTGCAGCTTCCTGCAGGGCTGACAGGTTTCCTGGAGCTGGTCCGGTTTGAAATCAGACGTGTCAGACACGACTCCCTGTCTCTGTCCCGTTTAACGTCTCGCAATCAAGACCCGTTTTATCCATAAAGAGGTCGTTTCATTTGTGTTTAGTTTCTCTGTGGTTTTCTTTCTTCGGTCACGTCAGACATTTTGTTTTATGTGTTTACAGTTTCCTTCTAGAATTTGAAAAGCTCTGGTTGTTTTGTGTCTGCTGTGTTTCTGTCAGGATTTCCAGCACTTGAAGATTGGAAAGCATCCTCATCATCACCAGTTGGACGTTTTGTTCTGTTGTCTTGTTGGGGGGGTCAGATGGGCTCCTGGGCCAAATTGTTCCAAACTGCCTGAAAATGTTTCCTTCAATGAGTCTGAAAGTCACTTTGTGCCAAAAACAAGCATGTTGTGTAAAATTGTGTTGGCGCAGTGATTAAAGCCACTCTTTTTGTTTAGCAGTTTATAATYCTTGGATCAGATTCTTTGAGATTTGGCTCCTGAGACAAAAAAAACAACTCAACTTATTATTTAGCCCAACAGTACTACTTTACAACAAGGCTCCCCTTATATGTGCTTCATAAATATTTTTATAGATAGGTTATTAATTCATCTGTAAATGCTTTTTAAATCATTAATAAAAGTTTATTATGCATTAATTAAGGACAAGAAAGAAACACATTTCTTGTTAAATAATGAGCCAAATCTGTTCATGTACATAATTACATCTAAAGGTGCTTATTAAACATTTCACTAACTTGTAAGCACAATAATGTATTGGAAACACATATTTTACATATAAAATTGTACTGTATTGCTGCATTATTAACAACTATCAAAGGGAGCCATATAAAGTGTAAAACAGTGCACTATAARGCTCCCTTGTGACATTTAAACATATTTATTAGTTATTAATAGTGTACTGTTTCATACTTTGCAGTAAGTCTCCCTTTGATAGTTTCTTAATATGTATAATACAGCAATACAGTACATTATTATACGTAAAATATATGTTTCCAATACATTATTGTACTTACAAGGTAATATGTGAGCCATCACATTGAAATGAGGGTTAAGTCCAAAAGTGGTTTTTGGAGAAACAGACAGATATGGGTTTTTGATTTAAACGTGTGCAAAAATTGTATTTTGTCAGAATATAATGAATTAAAGCCTTATCAATGTATCATTTAAATGAACTGTCTGAAATATTATCCTGAAAACAATTTTTGAAGCATTCTTTGTAGGCATTAGCAACAAAAATACTGATTTTGATGGAAATACGCCTTAATTTTTTTAGTTTTTCCCTGTGAGATAGCAATGTTTTTGTTTCTTTCCAACTGGGAAATCTTAATATACCGTACAAATACTCTCTGAGGTTTCCTCTTTATATTGACATAAAAAATTACTCAATAAATTTACATAAAATTAGGATTCAGACCAAACAATAATGTTTTATTGTAACCAACAAGATAAATTAAGTCATATCTCTGGATAAGCTGATGTTATCAGAATGATCCAGGTAAATAAAATGTAGCTTTTAAAGCAGGAATCTGAAAATGTAGTTAGATCATTTTGAACAAATTTGACTTAATCCTCATTTCGTTATGATGGGTCACATATGTCCTACATGAACAGATTTGGCTCACTATTTGGCAAGACACCAGACAGTTTTGTCTCGTTCTCATCCATAATTAATGCATAATAAACACTTAGTGTTTACAGATGAATTAATAACCTACCAATAAACTATAAGATTGATTTTAGGTGTGGGAAGAATGACCCAGGGCGCAGGCAAAGTAAAAAAAAAAAAGCAAAAGGCTATATTAACAGCTCAAAAATACTCACAAAAACTCAAGAAACTTAGAGGAAACAAGACCTCGAGGACACCACACTGGCTGATAACGGCACAATGGTCAGACAAACACTGAAGACAGGTCACAGAATAAAGGGAGAACGTAACAAGACAAGAAACACCTGGAGGAGACACAAGAGGAGTCAGGTGAGCAGGGGCGGGCAGGAGGAATGACAGGACACACAAACACTGAAACACTAGAAAACCAAAGCAGAAAAGAATTCTTTGAAGAAATACTTATCGCCCACCGTGTCGAAAACTTCAACAAAAACCTCAGATTTTTCCGTCCTCTCACTCAGAACTTCTCTTAATTATCATTCCTCGCTTCATCTTCCCTCATTTCTTCTCCCTCCACTTATTTAATTTGAYATCACCTAAAGATTGTAGAGGAGAAAGTTAATTATGCAGCATTTTGAATTATAAATTATAACTCCAACATATAGTCTTTCTTTCTGACTGCAGCTTGAATCTGTGATGAGAATCTTCAGTTTGAATGTGCAGGTTTAATACCTGCACAGGGACCTTTAATATGAGATGAATTTTATATTAACTAGATATCATCTGCTGACAGATGAAGGCCTATAAAAYGTTATAGAAAATTGGATGGAGGGAAAAAAACGCTGAAGTTTTTATTTAGCTTAAACGTTTCTTGCTTGTGACTAACTTCAGGTAAACTGCAGCTGTTAAAGATAAAAATAAAATTAAAAAAACTTTGCTTCATCATACTGTCCCAAAGACAGAATGACTAAAACTGTCAAAAATAAATATCCAGAAGGGTTCTGAAGCACCAGAAAACCTTTTCCTACTGTTAGAACTGTTTTTAGTCACTTCAGTCATCTCTGCAGATAAACAAACGTTGGCATCTGTCACAAATATCACTTAATTTTTTTTTACATTTAAAAACACAATATTTACTGACAAACTTAACACAAAAAGTAAGAAAATGAGTGTTTGGTAGATTTYTTTCTTTGTTGTAATATTAGTAATAAATCTTATAACCACGGAAAGTCTGTTAACTTTCATCTTAAATGGTGCCACATTTGTAAGGATCATGCATTTGTGAGATGAGCAGTAAAGCTGTGGGTGGAGCAGATGAAAAWTTATACACGGGAGTAAACTTTGACTGACTTTTTTAAATGTACAACCCCAATAAGTTTCAATATTTCCTCGTATGTAACTGAAATACTCCCCCTCTCTCCTGTTTTGAGTTGCGCATAGTCAGTGTTGTATAAAGTATCTCTAAGTAATACTTGAGTAAGTACAAGTATCTCACTAAAAACGACTTTAGTAAACGTTTAAGTTTCTTCTAAGTGTATTACTTGAGTAAAAGTCTAAAGTATCTAATATTTTTTGTACTTAAAAATCAAAAGTAAATTTCTGACAGAAGTATTGAGTTAAAATGAACAGTTAGATTTTTTAAAATTATTTTTTTAGGGAGGTCCCCTCAACAAATAAAATAAAATAAAAAAACAATTCTAAAGGCAAAAGTGTCTATAACGTCATATCATAATATTAATGTTAAAAACTTAAGGATGCACTTGTGTACCCCTCACACAGGGACTGCTTAAGTACTGTAAAGTATTTGTACTTAGTTACTTTACAGCTCTGCAGRTATCGAAGCATATAGTTRTTTACTCACCGGAGTCAGAGAACTTTTGTTTCATGTTCTCATAAATCCATCTTGTTAATTAACAACAAGTTTCTGCTCTGGTCTGATTGTTTTTTCAGTGACGCTGCTCGTCCTCCGCAGCTCTGCACGGCACGCCCACACAAGTGTGTCTCCTTAAATGTTTCCCCACCAGAGGGCGCACCACAAACACTGAAAAATCCTGAAGTCAGTCTGTGATGAGTGGTGACTCATAACATGATTAATTAGATAACTTTTTATGCTTTTTGAGCTAAAAAAAATGTATTACACGCGAGATCCTATTATACGTTAATAAATACGGTAAACTGTGCTTCAGATTGTTGTTTAAGTGAGATTTGACCAACCTGTTGGCTTTGCAGCCCTCATCTGACTTGTACACATTGTTTAAAAATGCCTACACAAACAGATGCAGATTTGAGGAGAAATTAAACTCCTACGTTGACACTCTGTACTGTTCCTGACCCCCCCCCCCCTCCCCTACAGTCATTTACATTTATATTGAATTAGAAGCCATGGTGGGGAGCAAGTGGAGGCAGCCGAGACTGATTATAATGGGAGATTATGGGCCGACTGCACCACCATTATGTCGTGTAATTACAAATGGGGGGGGGGGTGTCTTGGATTCCCAGATGTCAGGATTCATTTCATTTAGGGAAATAATGKCTCTTTGCTTTCCCCTCCACTTATTCTACCTGTAAATATCATACAGAGAATCACCTCTCCTCTGTTACTGGTCTWTAAGGGTCACAATTTATTGGAGACAAATATCACAAGGATTCCCCCTCCCCAATAAGACTTTCACAGCTGCATCTCGCTTTATAGCTTCATTTGATTGCATTGATCTGGTGGCGTAATGCATGTAGGATTACTGGTCATGCACTCAGGAGACGACCTAATGGGTTTAACGTAATGTAAAGCCTCCTGGAAAGGCCATCCATTGTGCTTCTCCTCATAAACTTCTGTAGGTGACAGCTCAGAAGAGRAAGCGTTTAGTAAATCCATCGACAGGCTGAGTAATTCCTGTATTCTACAAATAACAGTAGCAAAAAGGATGAACTGCCAGCCTGAAAGGAAATTACAGGGAGAACAAATCAATTGTTCGGCTGCTTTTAAAAATTACAACTGAACTAACTTCCCCAGACTTAAAAAGCAATGCGACTAAATTAACTCATTTAAAAAGCGTCTCCTTCAACCAGCTTTCACTCAGTCCAATTGAGTTTAACTCAGCCTCATTTATCCAGAGTTGCAAACTATTTGGTTGATCAGTGGGATTTTCAGCACAAACAAACCATTTGTTGACTCAATGCTATAAACTTAAAGTAATAATCCTAATTTTTTTAACCTGGAATTTAAAACCAATTCGGAAGCTAATGAACAGTTAAAGTAGAAAATAAACAAATAAATAAAAATGAGCTTATTAAAGGGCTTCTTCTAACAGGATCAGCAGCAGCCTGAAAGAAAATCACCACCATTAACAGCTTTGTTCAGGAACAAGGATTGCATCATCACAGTCAGTGGCTGAAGGAATGTGTCATTTGTTGTTTGTGATTTTTGTGTTATTTGTTACTGATGTGTCACTGTAAAATGATGTTTTCTGTTATTATATTCTTTGTTTAATTGGCTTAAAACTTTGTCCAAAAACTGTTTGGGTCACAGCTTCTGCTGATATTTTGTCAGATAGAGATGGAAAGTTTGGGAACCAATGACGTAATGCATTTGATGTAATGAACAACTTTAACAATACTATCTTGGACAGATAATATCATTTATGTTAACCTGTTAAACAGCTGACCTGAGCCTAACTGTGTGAGCTTAACATGCCTATCCTTCAAATACAAAAAGTCAAAGAAAATATCTTTATTTTTAGAAAAATTGGCCTAAAACACACGATTTTACCCATTTTGTCACATAASTGGCGTATTTTCCTTTGAATTTGGCTCAGCTAAAGTGAAACAGGAAGTGACATCAAAGGGGAACTCTTTAAGAAAGAAAACTCTCTTGTCTTTGTTTATGAAAACAAGGTTTTTTTGAACTCTAACTCTTCTTCATCTCTCTGATAGAGACTAAAATAATCTAAAGAAACATCAGAAAAGTCCCTGCTGTCTGTGTTGATACCCTTTGACATCACTTCCTGTTATGTCACATGCAAACATCTTAACAACTGTCCTGATGCATCTCAGTAATCCAGGTAAAAAATCAAAGGAAAAAAAATTGTATAGGTCCTCTGTCCAACCCGTCCAGAGGACCTATACAATTTTTTTTCCTTTGATCTTAACAACTGTTCATCTCAGGGGCGTGAAATTGCCTTTGGAATATGTTATCCATGTTATCTTTACAAAAGTGCATTCATATTTATCGCAAAAATTAGATGTTGCAGGCACTTTAAAAACAAACATCTCGGCTCTGTTCACAATCCTGCTTTTCTGATTCAAACAAAAACGTCTCATCAACACAAAAAATTAGATCTTTAGATACATTTCATACGTTAACAAAACTGCCAACATCTGCATGATCTTGTTGACRTTTAGGTTATTCCTGCTGCACCGCTTGAAAAAGTTGCAGATATTACCTCCTTCATGTCCCTGCTGACCTTTCAGTGGCACTGCAGACTCATCAGGTTATTGGGGGGGCTTCATTTACTTAATTGATTTTATTGGCTACACCTGTGAAGGTGTGGGCTGGGGGTTTCATTGCTGCAGCAGCAGCTGTCTCTCTTGCTCTCTGCTGCAAAGTCATTAGATTCTGAGTTCAGCAGGTGCACACAGGAAGCAGAAACTGAGAGGGGAAAACCTCATGTACTCATGTGCTGCTAATAGCCTCTGAACACACAAACATGGACCAGCCCAGAGATACTAGCAGTCCAATAAAACAGTGCTCATCATCTACAGCCCGTTCAGAAAAAGTTGGATAAATAAACCCAGCATGATTCACTCATCCAGGAGTGAGTTTGTTCATCAGAAACAACATGACGGCTTTAACAACACGTGTTAGAAAAGGATTCCAGGTAAATCCTTTAAGGTTCATAACTGAGTGAAATGACCTGAAACTACCTGAGTGGCAACATCGGGGGGGTTCTTATAGCTGCTAAAAATAAGTTTCCTTTCAGCTACACTGAATCACTGATAAAAATGGGATTGTTCCAAAATTTCCTGCAGCCACAATCATTCAAAGTATTGTTTGGTTATTCCATCAAATCCAATCCAACTTTATTTGTAAAGCACTTTTTTTGCACCAAAGTGCTGTACAGAATCAACATTTCAACGCAGCTCATACAAAAACAAACTCAATCAAAATGAAGATAAGAATTTAAAAAATCACATAAAAAATAAAAACAGGAAAAATAAAACAAAGTAAAAACAAGGAATAAAAACAATAAAATGTCTAAAACCTATTTAAAAATCTAGAACAAAAACAAAAAATTTCTACAAAAAAATAGAATCTAGTAAAAATGAACACAACCCCTTAACAAGTGGGTTTTAAGACGGGTTTTAAAAATTAAAAACAGCCAGTGAAGTGGATTTAATAAAGAACTGGAATTAACAAAACACATTTTTGTTCAGTAACTTTCAGAGCACTACATTTGTGACCTTTCTAAGTCTTTTGTAATTGTCCTTATTCCTGAAGTAATTCAGTAAAATGCTAATAATTTAGAACTTTGACATKGTGTTGTTTGGGATGCTTGAATTGGACAATATCCCCACCTAGTGTTTTTTTTTTTTTATTTGTTCCACTGTCTGTAAAGTCTGTTCAGATGTTTCATTTGCTTTTGCGTTATAATTAATTGAAGTATTAATGTCTTATTTCTTTGAAAGATCTTAACCTTGATTTTTTTTTAATTTTTATTTTATTGACAATTTTTTCATTGCTTCTCTGCAACTAGATGCTACAAAAGAGACTGAGGTAGGTTTACATATATTTTATCTTGAATTAAAAATAAATTAAATCAAAATTTAACAGACACAACAAGCAGATAAGTATTGCAACTATTAAAAAAAATATAAAAGCAAGTATTTTGAAGATATGAATATTTTTATACTGAATCTGAGACTTTTGTTTTGAAGGCCAGCTTTAGTCGGTTACCGGAAGTACTTCACTGCAGTTTCCGCTATGCCTTGTGGTGGATAAAACTTAGGTTTTCCTGAACTTTCACTGTTACTTTGTTGCTCGGTCAACTAAAAGAAACCCTCCCAGCTATGAGCGCCATCATACCTCGCATAGAGCAGCTGTCTGCTCGGGTTGTTCGGGTTTTAGGCTGCAACCCGGGACCGATGACCCTGCAGGGAACCAACACGTACCTGGTCGGTACCGGGGAAAGGTTTGTAAATATGTGTTCCAACTCAGCTGTAGTCGTGAGGAAGTTACGTGTTTTTCAAAAATACTAGTCTTGATTTTATGTCATGTATGTATTATTTAAAAATCGATCGGGATAATAATAATAATTAATCATAATCACTTAGCATGCCGTCTTGTTTTGCTCGTTAAAAACATCACGCGCCAAATTCCATTGAAAATGTCTGTATTTGCAGGTTTCCTCGTTGTAAATGAAGACRCTTTGTGTCATTAACTAAATTGTAAATGAATATTGCATAAACGGAATATGCTTGTCACTTCGGCATTCAAATTATATAAAAACTATTTGGAAATTAACAGTATAGGTATACAATTATGTCTTCATTTTGCAGGTTTTACAGTTTTGTTCAGGTTAACATTGTTAATATTTACTACATTTCAGTTATTTTTTATAGAATATATTGACACACAAACATAAATGATCACAAACAGTAAATCCAACATATTAATGGAACTTTGACTCTATAACTGTTTATTTCAGCCATGTTTGTTTACTTACATAGACTATGATGTGCCATCATTTGTCTCCATCTCCCACGTGTTTGTTCCAGTTTCAGCCTTGAAGCACTTTGTTTACATTGAGCGTGTACCCCCATTTCATCAGTATATCTAGAAAACTAGTTCAAACTGCACCATTTGCTTCAGTCAAGGACATGTTTTATGTTTGATTTCATACGTCTTTTACCAAAATGTAAATATTTTTTGTACTTCAGTACTGATGCTACTTGATAATGCATCAGTTTCAGAGGTATCATTATGTTTTTGTAAAGATATTATGTTAATAAATATTGTAAGAAATATTCAAGCTTAAGTTGTGTGTGTTTGCAGACGTGTGCTTATAGACACCGGGGAGCCTGCTGTACCGGACTACATCAAGAACCTGAAAACTGCTCTGGGCCAGTTCAGAACCAGCATCCAGGAGATCATCGTCACACATTGGCATCCCGACCACACCGGAGGGGTGGATGAGATCTGCAGGGACATAACTGGTTAGGGCTGTTTCTTTCACCTAATTTTAATTTYAAGGTTTGTTTGTACAGAACTTTTGACTAAAAAAATAAACAATATCTGTTCTGTTATTAATCACAATGGGCCTCATGCTAGAACCGTTCGTACGCACAGATTTGTTCTTAAGTTGTGCGTACGAGTGATTTAGGAGAATTTGTGGCATTCACCAATGTT